TATTAGAAAGAGTTCTTTCTAAAGAGCTTAATAAGAGAAGTAGACACTACTAACTATTATTAGAGATAGAGAAATCTAGTAGAAGTATTACGCTTATATTTATTTAACTAGAGATACCTATTACTATAGCTATCTAGACGTTAGCCTATTTATAAAAAGAGCTATCTATATAAGATTACTATATTATAGAATATAGATTACTAGGTACCTAGTAGATATATTAGTTACTTTAACCTCTATAGAGCGCTTTAGTAAGAATACTAGTTCTTTATAGTAATCTAGCAATATAGTAGATATACTTAATAGAAATAAGTAGAGAGTGTATAAGAAAAATTATAATACTAGAAATAAAGAGTATAAGACTAGAACTTATAAATCTAAGATTAGCTACTAACTATTATAGATAGGTAAGTTTAATATAAATAGTGTAATAAGTCTAATAGGCTAAACTAAAAAAGGTTAAGCTTTATATACCTAGTATGTACTATACTTAGTAGTTATATAATATCTATTCTATATTATTATATTATACACTAGTGTATTAGATGCGCGTAACGTTATAACTTCTATACGCAAACCTATACTTTTATCTTATAAATATATATATTCTTAATAATCTTAACGTGTTATAGGCTCTCTAAGCAAATATTACCTTATAATAATATCTTATTCTACGTACTCTACGTTCTAGAGATATCTACTCTTCTTCTTAATGCCTATATCTCTATCTAAACTTACCTTTAGATCTACTCTCTACGCAGGCGTATTAATTAGCCTAGACTTTTCTATTATAGTTCTTCTAAGTCTATCTCTTTGTCTTATATACGTGCTCTTTCTCTTTCTCTAGTTCTCTATTATTATTAATAAGATTTCCGCGTTAGCCTACTATATATAATTAGCCTCTATTAATCTACTAAAGAGAAAAGCTAACTATACCTACACTAAGCTTCTATCTCTTCTTAATAATAGCCTAGAGAAGAATAAGAGTAAGAGCTAGTTAAAATATAAGATTAATTAGAGGTATATAGTAGAGTTTTAGATAATAGTAGTAAGTATAAGAATATATACTATTAGAAGAGATAATATTAAGAGGTTTTAGTAGAGAGAGTAGAAGAGGCCTATTATTAGAAGAAGGTAGAAAAGAGATAATATATTACTGCTTTAGAGAGGTAGGCTAATTTAGATTAGAGAGTATAGTTAGACTATCTAGAAAGTTCTTAGAGTAAGAGTTTATAAGAATAAAAGGTAGTAGATAACTATATAATTTTATGTTAAATTTGTAGCGCGAGACCTACGCGTTTACGCCTCTAGAGTAATAATAATAAATAATATAATAGAACTAACGTTATTATCTCTTTATAATATCTACCTTAGTTATATATAATAAAGCTAGTTTATAAATTTAAAACTCTATTTCTAAACTTAAGTATTTTTTTAATTACTTAATTATCTTACTATAATTTTAAGTATACTATAAACTTAGCCTTTTTTAGTATAAAAATTTTTTTTTTCTTAATTTTATAAAAAAGCTTATAAAGTACTATAATTTTTTTTTTATACTAAAAAGACTATATAGCTTAATTTCTTATTAGCTATTTATTTTTAAAAGTATAAAATAAATATACTTACTATTTTATTTTACTTTAAGCTACTTTTTTAACTACTTTTTATTTTATATATATTATAAAAGCTTTTAAGTATTATTTAAGCTAGTAATTATATTAGTATACTTAATAAAGCTAGTATAAATAAAGTTAATATTATAATTACTACTAATATAAGTAGCTATTATTATAGTTTTAGTAAGTACTACTTACTAAATTAATATTATATATAAAGTTTTAGAGCTAGTATTTATTTTTATATATATTAGATAAAAGTCTTTACTATATAGAAGATTTTTTTATACTTATTACTAAATAGCTATTTTACTTATAAAAAACTAAAATTTTTAAATTTAGTATATATACTATAGTATATATAAACTTTAATATTAAGATTATAACTATACTAAGTTATTAAAACTTTTTACTTTTTAATAAATATTAAATAAAAATTATTAAGATTAAAATAAGATTATTTATTAAGATAGTAACGTTAAGATAATTAAGATTATATTGTGTGCGCCTCTAGGTAAATGTTTTCGCAGTCTTTGCACAAATTTAAAACAGCTGTCTTCCGCAGTCTTGTTACACATGCTTATTATGTGGCTTACTTAGCATCACAAGCGCTCATAAATCCGCTGCCCGAATCTAGATCTTCGGCTGTGAATGCAAATCCGCTTTTTCCCGAAGAAAAACGTCTTTGCGCGTTATCAGATCCTGACTTTGACAGCGGTCGAAGTTCGGCGGACCCGCTTTTCTTTGCCTGACAGACGCAATTCCGCGCTCACGTAAAGAACGTTGAAGATTGCTCAGAAAAATGTCAGGAGCGATGGGCGCCAAACTAGGACGCGCATCGCGCTGTGGTCACCTTTGCACACATACTTCTACACGCTCTACGGATCGTGACTGCTGTTTTCACGCAAACATTGCCTGCCTCCGCCTCGAGACGCGTCGTTGAGAATCGACGAGCACTGTCGTCATCGCGGTACCATCTCGGAACTCACAGCCAAAACGACATAGGCGCAGAAATTGAAGTCCATTCAGCACAAGTTTACATTCACGATCTTTCGCGATAACACGAGCGTTTCACGATAGTCTCGAGAAGACACATTCCAGCAGGCGCTTTCCTCGGTCACGCCGTCGAACCATCTCGAAATGGAGGAACCAAGAGGCTCATTAGAGCCAACAGGCGAGAAGTTCTCGCCTACCTCCGACCAGGCCTTTGACGACAGCGACTCCCACGAAGACATGGACCGCCGCAACTCTGCCCATTCTGCGCATGCTTCCAAGCAGCAGCAGGACCTGGAACTAGCAAAGACGAAGTCAATCGCAGAGACCATGTCTCCACTCCGCGAAGCTTTCTTTGTTGGCTTGCTCTGCTCTGCTCAGTTTGTCACACAAGCAGGTCTGCTCGGCACTCTCAACATCCTGCACATCATCGGATCCGATCTTGGTATCACCGACCCCGGTGTCCTGTCGTGGCTGATAGCGGGCTATTCGTTGACAGTCGGTACCTTCATCCTGTTATCTGGACGTTGCGGAGATCTCTTTGGATACAAGAACATGTTGATCATCGGCTATATCTGGTTCGGCGTCTGGATGATAGTAGCCGGTTGCAGCGTCTACATTGAGGGAAATGGTGGACAGGTGCTTTTCATCTTCTCGCGCGTGCTGGGAGGTATTGGACCGGCAATACTACTGCCCAATGCGCTTGGTCTACTAGGCGCAACGTACAACGAGGGAAAGAGGAAGGATATGGTGTTCTCGCTATTTGGAGCATGCGCACCCGGTATGTATCTCTCCGTTCTCTCAAGAATACTGTTTAACGTTTTATAGGTGGTGGTATAGCTGGCGGCGCGTTTGCTGGTCTCTGGGCGCTCTTGTGGTGGCCATGGGCATTCTGGACGTTCGGCATTGCGCTATTCTGCCTTGCCATTTTGTCGATCTTCATCCTCCCCTCAGTACCACTCGATCCCGAAGTTCGTAATCTCTCGCACAGGGAACGAGTTCGTGAGCTTGACCTACTTGGCGCAACTGTGGGTATCACCGCCATGATCTTGTTCAACTTCGCCTGGAATCAAGCGCCTGGTTTTGGATGGGGACACCCCTACATCTACGTCTTGCTAATAGTCGGCCTTCTTCTCTTTCCGCTTTTCTTTTGGATCGAGATCAAAGTCGCCAAGAAGCCTCTCATCCCATTTGATGCTCTCAGCACGGATGTCTCGTTTGTGTTGACTTGCATAGCCTGTGGCTGGGCCGCTTTCGGTAAGAGTCGCCTATTCGAATAATTTTGTTTGAGCGCACGGCTAACGACAGTTGTAGGTATCTGGGTTTATTACTTCATCCAAATGCTCCAGCAGCTGCGTGGCGAGTCCCCGCTTCTCACAATGGCTCATCTCTGTCCTGTCGTGATCTCCGGCTTCATCGCTGCGGTCACCACTGGCCGTGTCATCTCGCGCATCGGCCCAGGATGGGTTATGCTTATCAGCATGCTGGCGTTCTTGACAGGCAACATTCTCGTAGCTACACTCCCCATCAACCAGATCTACTGGGCGCAAACCTTTGTTACCACGCTCATCATCCCATGGGGAATGGACATGAGCTTTCCTGCCGGAACGCTGATCATGAGTAATGCCGTCGCTAAGAAGCACCAAGGCATGGCAGCGAGTTTGGTCAACACGATCGTGAACTACAGTATCAGTATCGGTGTTGGTATCGCAGGAACAGTGGAGGTGCACGTGAACAATGGCGGAAGAACGGCGGAGGATGAACTGCACGGTTATCGCGGCGCCATGTACGTTAGCGTCGGACTGAGCGGCATGGGTGTGGTGACGAGCTTGCTGTTCCTGCTCAAGATGTGGTTGAGAGAAAAGAGGGCGCAGAAGAAAATCTGAGTTTCGAGTAGCAGGTAGTGTTCAATCTAGGTTAAGCGTTGTTAACTTTCTTTGGCGTGCAGTTCCGCAGCTTTGTGCGTGTGCCTGCCATCTTTGAGTGATTACGTCATCGTGTCGCACCATCCCGCGATCGCAATTTCACCAGGGCTTGTTCATCGCGGTCACCCATCTGGCACGTCAGCGCCACACTTCAGCATCAAGTTACGACAGTGCTTTGATCATTGACATTTACCCGACAGCACCGTCCTGAGGAATCCAGCGAATTGAACGTGGAGTGGCGGATGATAAACACCGGATGATACCGTCAGGGTCTTTGGTACAGTCAAGGAGGAGCTTATTCGCGAAATCGAAAACCGCGCAAGCCACTCAGCAGAGCATCAACATCACATAGTCTGCGATGCTACCGTCCACCACTCTAAGTATGAGGTCCACTATGACGCCTGACGATCTATTTTGGAACAACATTTTGCCTACACATACACCTTGGAAATCTAAAAAAATCATGACGCCTGACGATGACCCGCCCATCTACCAGCTGCCGGAAGAGTTACTGCTGCACGTCGCCTCTTATCTTCCCGACTCAGCTGCACCCACGTCCCTCAAGGACCTGAGTCTCACGTCCCGCAGATTTCGCTCTGTCGCCCAAGATGCCCTTTACACCACAGTAAACCTGTCCATGTCATGTGGGACTCACCCCAAGGTGAGCTCCCTTCTGCAGCTGCTGCGTACTCTCCTGGACCGCGCAGACCTTGCGGCAAAAATCAGAACCCTACGCGTTGGGACAATTCGCAAGAATGTCGCGAAGCTTTGCGAGGTGCAGGACTTCGACCTCGCGTCTTTACGCGTGCGAAGCTTGGCAAAGCTGGAACAGATGGGGTATACTGCGTCGCATCCTTGGCATCGGACAATTCGAAACTCGATAGAGTCGGGATTTGCTGGACTGCTGCTCGTACTGCTTCCCAACCTCACACACCTTGATGTCTGGGTGAAAGATCATGCTCGCGGTCCACCTTCAGGCGAGTGCATCTCCGGGCTTTTCGGTGGAATGTTCGCCCCTGCTAGCATTATTCACGGTTGGAGCACGCTTCGACATTTGACTACGAGCGACACACACTTACTGAAGTCTGGCATTCACTACGAGAACCTTAAAAGCCTCGATCTAAAAACGATTTCCATTGGTACCATCCTGCGTCTCAACGGTCGTGGGTGTCTACAGGGCGCCGAGAACCTTGATGATCTAGCCTTGAGTGTCTCGATACAATTTGCAGATCGTCCCCTCGTTGAAAAGGCGGAAGTCCAACTCAGTGACCTTTTCGAAGCTCTCGACTGCAGCCGGCTACGAAGTCTCAAAATGCAGCTGTGAGTTTGTCAGTGCATCATATACGTTGCCACTGCTAACATTCGCCCGCGCAGTATCAACGACAGCTATCATCTCACAGACGACCGAGATACCCAGCTTGATGCTAGCTATCTCATAGATCAACTTGATAGCATGCGAGACAGTCTAGAAAGGCTTGCCATCACGCATGAAATTACTGATGACGACTCCGATTTAGAATGGCTGCTGGGATTGTTGACGAACCAAAAGAGATCATTTAAACACTTCACCAACCTCAAGCATCTCACCATTCCACAGTTGTTCTTTTTCAACGAGGAGACGGATCGTTGGCTGGAACACTGCTGCCAGCCGAGAGATTTGCCACCAAAGCTCGAGACGTTGGAAATCTTGTACCCTCAATCAGACATAGAAGACTGGGTACAGGTAGAGCGCTTCCAGCCCCCAGGATATCAAGACGATCCGGCTTTAGGCTTTCAAGCCAAGCTGCCCTCGGCTTTGTGGAAGATCACATTGACGTGTCGCGACGAAGTTGGCTCATCTGCATCGTCCTTCACGAAGGACGTAGAGCCGATCTGGGTGGTGCTGTCGTTTGATCTCCTAATTGAGACGTATGTCTTCTGTCAGACCCAAGGAAACTGGTACAATTTGAAAGACTTGCGCTACGAGCAATTAGACATGAACGAGGAGGAGACCGACAGCGATATGTCAGCGATGTTATTAGCGCATTCTGGACCTCAGGTAGAATCGACCGACAGCGAATTGGAAACGACTGATAGTGGAGACTACGACCAAGAATCGGACGAAGAATCGGACGAATAGAGACTACAAGCGAAGCCTTCTCGATCAACAGAAATGGACGCAGAGAGACTACATGCAAAGCCTCCTCGATGAATTCTCAATGGACCAGACGGACTGGACGGCTACAGCCTCAGTATTTGAGCCGGCGAGGCGAGGGTACGACATGGCCGACTAGCGCACGGTCGCAGTGGTCCAGATGTTCATTGGAGGCGTTCATGCATGTTCCCGGTCAGCGATTCGAGCCGAATCCCGCCCCACCATCAACGCTTAGCCAAGATGGTCCTGCATGCAGCAAATATTGGGCATTGCGCCTGCTTCTTCCGGCAGTAACAATTCGCGATATCATCATCCACATGATCAATACGATGTCCGAGTACCCGGTGACATCCTGTGGCGTTCCTTTCCAGGCTTCTGAGCACGCATCTAGTATGCAGCCTAATTTATCATGCAGCCAACACGGACTACTGATCTTGAGCGGGCAAATCCGAGCCCATAACTGAGGTAGCCTCTTGAGATGTAGGTCAATGAATGATACTATCTACGCGGAGATCAGTCTGTGTGCGCGATGCGTCAAGTCCGTCAGCCTCCTAGATTGGCGATATCTTCCACATGTCTATTCTTGGGCGTGCGCGGAGCTGGACTTCCGCATCAACCTTGGACAGTGCTATTGTAAGCTAAGCTAGACGGGCATCATGGCGTTTGCGAGTGTGAGATGAATGATTATGGTCGAGAGGCGATGGGAACAGAGGTCAGCGTCGTGTAAGCTGACATGCCGCCAGAACCTTATCAAAGAACTATAAGTTCGAAGCTTTCCTTGCATTGAGACTCACATCACCAACAAAGTCGCTGCCTCCACTTCTCAATCTTCGACATGAGCTTCAGGTCCAGTCTATCAGCGATTTGTATCGCCGTACTCATCCTAGCGGGTTCAGTCGACTCTGCCTCTGTCACTATTAGCCGTTCAGGATGGACCGCAACGTCGGACAGTTTCCAAGCTGGTAATGAGCCTTCTAAAACACTTGATGGAAATGCGACGTCGTTCTGGCACTCGAAATATGATCCCGCGCCGGCCGACACTTTACCAAACTGGATCATCGTGGACATGAAAGCATCCTATAACATCAACGCCGTCAGTCTCCAGCCACGCCCAAGCGACAACGCCAATGGCAGAATCGGAGGACACAGGATCGAGATTAGTACCGACAACTCGAGCTGGAAGGTCGTCGCTGTCGGCACATACAACAACGATGCGACGACCAAGAAGACTTCCTTCGTCGCGAAACCGGCACGATATGTTAGGATCACAGCTACCTCAGAAGCTCAAAGCGTCGTCAACCAATGGACCACCATCGCTGAGATCAACATCTTCCAGGATACAGCATACGCTCCGCCAGCGGCAGGCAAAGGCTTATGGGAGAAGACTGTGGATTTCCCGCTTGTACCAGCAGCTGTCTCATTGCTCCCGAATGGAAAAGTGCTGATGTGGTCGGCCTTCGCGAAGGACAACTTCGGCGGATCCAGAGGCTTCACCCAAACAGGCATTTATGATCCTGCTACTGGCGAGTCGAGCCAGCTTCAGGTCTCCAATACACAGCACGACATGTTCTGCCCAGGTATCTCCCTGGATTTCAACGGCCGTGTTGTCGTTTCGGGGGGCAGCGACGCTGCAAAGACCAGCATCTATGACCCTTCTAGTGACGCCTGGACCCCAGGAAGCGACATGAGGATTGCTCGGGGGTACCAATCTACCGCTACTTGCTCCGACGGGCGCATCTTCAATATCGGCGGATCATGGAGCGGCAACAGGGGCGGCAAGAACGGAGAGATCTATAGCGCTACTGCAAATACTTGGGCTCTGGTACAGAATGCGCTCGTCAGCCCTATGCTTACAGCTGATACTGCGGGCGTATATCGTTCGGATAACCATGCCTGGCTCTTTGGGTAAGTCCAGCGCCTGATAATCATTGACCTTATTGCTGACCAACTACAGATGGAAGAACCAGACGGTATTTCAAGCCGGCCCTTCGATCGCCATGAACTGGTACGATACTGTCGGATCTGGAAGTACCACAGGTGCTGGTAACCGCTTGGATGACGGGGATGCCATGTGTGGCAATGCGGTCATGTTCGACGCCACAGCCGGAAAGATACTCACTGCAGGAGGTGCTGCAAACTACGAAAACAGGTATGAACCGACTTTCGCATCACTCACGCAGCAATGCTGACTTCGTTGTCTTTTAGTGACGGACGCACAAGTGCCTATGTCGTCACGATAGGTGCACCAAAGACTAACCCAACCGTCGCCAAAACCCAGTCTATGACCTATCCGCGTGGTTTCGCGAATGGTGTCGCGCTTCCTGACGGAACAGTCTTCGTTGCTGGTGGACAATCGCGTCTGCACCCGTTCAACGACGACACGGCGCAGCTGACTCCGGAGCTGTGGGACCCCACTACTGGAAGATGGACACAGTTGAACCCCATGCAAATTCCCAGGACATACCACTCCGTAGCAATCCTCATGCCGGATGCGACCGTCTTCGTCGGCGGTGGCGGCTTGTGCGGTTCTTGCGGTGCCAACAATCACTTCGACGCCGAGATCTTTGTACCGCCCTACCTACTGAACGCTGACGGTACAAGACGCGCACGTCCTGTCATAAGCACTGTAGCCTCTACTGCCAGACTGGGCGCGAACTTGAGCATCACCACGACTGCGGCTGTTACCAAGTTCTCACTCGTGAGGTTTGGCACCGCCACTCATACCGTCAACACAGATCAAAGAAGGATCGCATTAACGATGTCGGGTAGCGGTACGAGCTATACGGTGGCTATCCCGGGCGACCCTGGAGTCGCGTTGCCTGGATACTGGCTTTTGTTCGCGATCGACGCCAACGGCACGCCTAGTGTGGGCAAGACGATCAAGCTCGCTTTGTAGAGATGCATGAAGAAGGGCCAGGACCTATGCGCCGATTGTTTCGTCTTGGTTCAATCTTTTGCTACGTGAATCGCTTCCTGCTTTTGGGGTCCGACGTCCTCAGGCCGAGCACATGAGTATATTATGAGTTTGCGACAAGAACATCTGATACGCTTTTGGTTTTCACTTTTTGGTATTTTGGTTCCATTCAGGCACTCTTCATTGTGAGTTAAGCTGTCGCACGGTTGACTCATGGATTGCTTCGCTACATTAAATATACACATTAAGAAAGGGAACAGAAAGTAACAACACGCGCTCTCAAAGTCGACATCCTACCCGAGGCTCCAACCCCAGGTCATTTTCCAACGCGTAGTAAAAGGTCTTCGATCTATTTTTCTTCCGCTTCATTTCACGACAAATCTTTCACTGTCGCGTGGCTCTTATCGCCGATTGGCCTCCACAATGCCAGCGGCAATCTTCTCCGCGAGCGCATCTACGCGAATGTTAGCAGACGTCCGCACAACACTTGAGCTCGCATGGGAAACTTACAAATCGTACTGGTGGGGTGACCCGGCGGCAGGATAGGCAATGCACTCGCATCTACAACCCTCAAGCCCTTGACGCCATAAACCTTAGCTTCGGTGTCCACCACCGCCATGTTATCATCCTTCTTTCCCATCTTACACGTGCAAGACGCATGCCAGATAGTCATCAAACTGTCTCTCACTACAGCCAAGATCTCCTCGTCGCTGTCCTTCTCCTTGCCTGGCCAGTATTCGTCACCAATCACAACTTGCTGCATGGTTTCCGAGTTCCAGATCTGGCGCATGCGACGGTAGAGCGCGACGGCGAGTTCTTGGTCCGCAGGCGAGGTAAGCCAGTTGGGGTTGATCAGAGGCGAGCTGCTCATGGATGCCGATTGCAGGGTGACGTTGCCGCGGGACGTGGGTGCTACGATGCCTCCGAGGATTGTGGCGTACTGCTTGCCATCTAGGGGTTGTTGGAGGACAGGGAGGGAGAAGTCGCCGATGTAGCCGTTTCCGCTGATAAGCTGTTCAAAGTTTGTGATTAGCGTCTATCCTGCATTGTCATCATCAAAAACTAAGGGACTTACCTCAGCTTCTGGCCAGTCATCGGTAAATTGGTTCAAGGCATCGACGGTGGATTGAGAAAAATTTTGGCGGAACTCTTGGGGCAGCTTTTCCCAGCCGAGGAACTCGACTACGTTGGAAGAAAGTACGCCTTCGCCTTTGAGGGTGTAGTCGGCCAGAGCATCGGCAAGTGCGACGGGGTTGTGGAGGGTGTTGTCCAGCGTGTTGAAGCTGACTTCGTAAGCTGGTCCAAACATAATGTGATCCCACATGTTCTGGCCTACGCCAGGGCGATCGGCAACCACATCGATGTTGAAATTCTCCAAAGTCTCCTTTGGACCTACACCCGATACCATGAGTAACTGGGGGCTGTGGAAAGCGCCTGCGGAAACGATGACCTCCTTGGAAGCATGAATGTCGTAGGTAATGGCCGTGGACTGAACCCTTACGCCGGTCGCGGTCTTGTTGCCATCAAAGAGGATCTTTTGTGCCTGGGTGTTTGCGTACACGGCGAGCTTGTCGTTGTCGAGCGCTGTTTTGATGTACTCGTCCGATGCACTGCGGGTCTGCTCCTTCGCGTCGATGAAAGTTTGGGTGTAGTGTGTTCCCATGAGTTTGCCGCTATCAAATTCGCTGGTCCTTTTCAAGCCGACTGCATGAAGAGCCTTCTCCATCCAGGTCGAGAATGGAGAGACATAGTTGGAGTAACCGATCTGGATAGGTCCTCCCGGTGTTTGGAAGGCACTCTCGTCGTATTGCGTAGTCACATTGTCGCCACGTATGGCGTCGTTCGGCTTGGTGAAGGTGACAGCCTTCTTGAAGTAGGGTTCAAAGTTGGCAAACGTGTAACTGTCGTCGCCCACAGCGTCGGCCCAGGTTTGATATGAGCCCTCAGTACCTCTGGAAAAAGATTAGTACACTGAAATCGGAAGCAGAGACGGCTCTTCTTACCTATGGTGAATTAGGAAGTTGAGCGCAGAACTGCATTGAAGATCTTGTTAGTATTGTAATAAGCGTTG